GACGCGACACCCTGCTAAAAGACAAAATCTGTCACGAAGCAGAAAAAGGGTGAGATATATCACTGAACGGGAAGAAGTTCCAGGTAAAATTATTCTCCTTTATTTCGTTTTATCCGAGCAACGACAACACGATTAGTATGCAACGTGATACAGTAATAGTTGAATGTTGAACAACGTGAATTACAAAGTAATCTCGTAACACGCTGAAAAAAGAAAAAAAAAACTGGTATTTTTCCTAATCACACGATCCTCAATGTTAATCGTTCTCAATCGCCCATACGAATTTCTTGTTCTGTCCTCGTCCCGCGATCAAATCTCCTCTACCGGAATTTTCGCTATTTTATTCATTATTTCTAAGCGCCTTCTGCGAATCCTTGGAATTCAACGACGTTTCTATTTCTTCCGCCGCGTCGAGTCTCTTCGCGTTTTCCGCAATCTTCGTCGTTTGTGACGTTTCGAATTTTTTCGAGCCTTTGATCATCGTCGATTCAGCCTGCTGCTTTCTCCCCGGAACATGAGACTTCCCTTCCGGTTTCTGCGCGTCCTTCTTCTTTCCCGACTCCTGCTTCTTCTCCTCGTCCTCGGCCTCCTCCAGATACTCGTCCCATTTCGCGATTCGCGCCTCGATTTGCGCGTCCGTCTCTGTAATCCTGGAACACAAATTCTGCATTGACGAGCACCGCCGATCTTCCGCCTCTTCTTTACTCTATCTTTGAAGGATCGATTGGTGTGATTAGCTGATCCGAAGTGGAGAAGCTGGGATGGCTGGAACGTTTTGGTCGAAGGATACGAAGCTGATTTGCGGGAGATGTTCGAAAGTGAGATAAGATCGTGTTGAAAATGGTTAACAATGTCGTTATTTGCGTTAATTAAAATGTCATTCGCTGAAAATGAAAGAAACGTGGATAGAAGTAAAAGTGAAAGAATAATGGACGAATAAGAAGATCTCTGTTGTTCGTTGAAGTATCACGCGTGAAGGAACTTCTGCTGGAAAAGCTTGTGAACGCGTAATATTAAAAACGAGTGTATAAATTATTAAAAAATGTTCAAGAGAAGATGTGTTGAAAAGAAAGCGCACTTTATGCTGGGAAATAATTCTCGAAACTTGCATTTTGTACAGGAAAATCATTTTAAATAAATAGTTCGCGTAGCTCTGTAATGTTAAATAAAAGAAGAAAAAATAGGATATGGTGTAAAAATAAGTTTGTATAAATGTCGGCAATGTGGATTCCTGTTTATGGTAAGGGAAGTTTCGAATAAATATTAAAATGTATTAATTTAATAAACATTTGCGATAACGCATTTAAATATTAGTTACGACAAAATACGTGTATTTTGTAGTTACCGTGAAAATTTGGTAGCGATGGTTCGATATATTTAAAACAAGTCAATATGCACAAAATAAATATAATTGGGCAATTTCAATTTCTTAAATAGTAAAGAATACGGTGCTGCAACTCGAAATTCGATTAAAATTCGATTAAAACATTAATCAAGCTGTTAATCAGTTATCAACAACAGGTAAAACCCATTCGTACGAAAAAATTCAGATATTTTAATACGCATAAAACTGAATCTCATAATAAATCACTTACCCATGAAAAATATATGGTTAAAAATAATCTAAAATAGAAAAATAAGAATTTATAACAGGAAGTACCGTGTTAAAATTTTAAATCAATATTGATTCGTATAAATATTCGGAAAACTCGAGAATAAGCATACACAAAGTTAATAATATACTGCTCGCAGTACCAAAAAATAATACTTCCACAATTATTCTCTGTTTTTCAAACATTACTCACAAGGTAAATAAAAAACTATTTTCGAAGACTCTGTTAAATAACCAATAGTATGTTGAAGAAATGCTACGAATTAATTTGTGTTATCCTATGAAATACTTTTAAAAAATTTCGAACTTGTATTTTCATAAAAATAAAAATCACGAGCCAATTAAAAGTAAAATGAAATTATTAAATTGACGGGGACATATGATATGAATAAAAAAAAATAGTTAAGCTGTCATAGAAATAAAACTACTTGCACAAAAAAAAGTTACTATCAAAAGATACTTTCCGTATCACATACAGGGTGTGCCTGTATTTTCTACAGAGGTTCTGTCGGTAAGTCAGACTGGTTAAGCAGAAAACCAGAAGTTCGAGAAGGAAAGGAACGAAACACGAGTCTCGATGGATGGTTAACTATCAACCTGGTCACGCAGTAAAGTCTGCGCCAGGTCGGTAAAGCCGACGACGGATAGGAAATCAACGGGTAAGCTTACTTGTACTTGGTCTTGCCGTCCCAGATTTCAGCCGATATTTTCCTCTGGCTGAACCAACGGCCGTTCAATAATTGAACGCAAGCTTGTGCTTCCGCCGGTTCTCGGAATGTCACCTGTGCAACGCCTTCAGGATGTCTCTGCAAGCATACAACCAGAGTTGCCTTTGAACTCTTGAAAATTTCACTCTATCGACGTTGCATATTCAACGTTGCAACGAATACGAGAAAAATCTGGATAGTTCTACGTTTCTGACTTTTCCTGTGGAATAGAATATACATTGATTCTCACCTGAAAAATAATATAACTTCTCAAAGAACAATTGCGGCGGTGCCAGAGATATCGAATAATTTTAGTAAAAGAAATTTAAGATACAAAACAGAAGATACGCTGTACTATACAAAATGATGAAAAATAAAAATTGATTTACCTGAAAAATAATTAAATTTCTCAACGAATAATTATAGCGGTGCCAGAAATTTGAAATAATTTGAATAAAAAAAGGAAGATACGCTGTACTATATGAAATGAAATTCGTCTGACAAAGGAAATCATTGTTGTACCTTTAAAGTTTCATTTCTCACAATTTCACATTTCCACCGTGGAATTTCATTTCACATAATCGTTCGTTGATTTCAATCCTCCCGTTTCAATTTCGGGATAAAATCGATAAAGTATGTATTTACACTAATTAAACAATGAACGCCTTTAATCAGGCGAAGACGAAGGCCTGTCGTCTTTTCACCGGCATTGAGTCCTTCCGTTTTACGACTTAAGAGTGGCCGCCAGCCCTCGCTCATAGTTCTCCACAATACTCCTCTCGTCTCTCGAGCTTAAACCACAATTTACGAGCCTTCGGTTTGAACATTAATTTTACCGTCTGACCCCGTCCGCGACATGAAATTCTTTGTTCCTTTGCCACGTGGTGGCTCGTTAGATCAATCGGCTCGCTCTTCGTTTTATCCATCGTTCGTTACGCGTTTGTACGCGATAAACTATACTTATTTTTAGAAAAATTAGTTCTATTGGTAAACTGCTGAAATATACTTTTATTCTGTTTTTAAACATTTACTATCTTTTCTGTTCTATTCTGTTATTAATACGATCATTTTAATTGTATTCTTTTCTTTTTTCTCTTGGAATACTATGATACTTGAATTACAATTAAATTGGTAAAAAAAATCAATGGCAGATTTATTTAACGGAGAACTAAAATATTTCAGCCAAATTTTAAGGATATTTAAGGCTTGTTTTTTAATAAATGTGAGTTTGAAAATCATATTATTTCTGGGTTGTAAGATATTTTCGTGTCTGTGTGAGTCAACTAGTTTACTGGGGACTAAAATAAAGATAAATAATGATATCGTAAAGTGGAGGAAACGTGGAATTTTCGAACAGACATAATTTCTGAGGGAATATCTGAGAAACGGTGAATTAAAATGAATGGTTGTCATTTGGAACATTTGTACGAGAAAAAAATAGCTTTCGACACTTTGTAACTGTATAAAAATCAATTTTGAATGCATGCGTGTTAAACACTGTTTCTTTATTTTATATAAAATAAATTTTATGTAACAAAGTTTAGCAAACTTTGGTGCATTGAGTGTGGAAAATATAATAGAATTCCTTATGCAAATTGTTTCGGTTTTTGTACGGTTTGTTTTCTAACAGAGATCGAAGAATACTGAACAAATTGCACGATTATATCCAATGATAAACTTAAAATTCATAATATATACATATAAGTAAGATATAAAAGTCTAAGAATACCAAAAAATCTCTTGCACTTTTTGTAAATAAATAAAAGAAAGAAATCTGAAGAAAGCAATTCAAATTATTCACAGAATAAGCCATCATTGCGAAAAATAGTCTTTAATAATCAAAGTATCGATGCGATTTCAAATTATATAGAAAAAAAAAGTAAATAAAATTGAACAGAAAAGGAAGAAATCTTCCACAAACGTTCTGTCGCCCTATCAATCACACATTTTCCCCAACAAAATCAAACGACAAATAAAAAGAGAAAAAAAACGAGAAACAAAAAAGTAGGAAGCAAAAATTGGTAGCCATAAAATTACCGCGGAACGATATTCCCAAAATCACCATAATCCCAGGCGAGACACGATAAAA